ATTTGTTGTAAGGTGCTGAATGTGTTGTAAAGTGCTAAATGTGTTGTAAGGTGTTGAATTTGTAAAGTGTTAAATGGGTTGTAAGGTGTTGAATGTGTTGTAAGGTGCTAAATGTGTTGTAAGGTGTTGTAAGGTGCTAAATGTGTTGTAAGGTGTTGAATTTGTTGTAAGGTGCTAAATGTGTTGTAAGGTGTTGAATGTGTTGTAAGGTGTTGAATGTGTTGTAAGGTGTTGAATTTGTTGTAAGGTGCTAAATGTGTTGTAAGGTGTTGAATTTGTTGTAAAGTGCTAAATGTGTTGTAAGGTGCCTTAAGTGTTGTAAGATGTTGTAATGTATTGTATCTGTGGTAATGAATTGTTAGTGTGGTAATGTGTTGTATGGGGAGTAATCTGTTGTACTGGTCCAATGTAAGTCAATGGGAAAAAGTGCTTGAACTTTTGTTAATATCTGAAAAAGTGCTAAAGGTGGAAGTGTGAAAAGTAATAGCAATAATGAGACGGTGAAGCCGGTCGTAACGATGTATAATTTGTTGAATTTGGTGAGAGCGTTGAGTTGAAAAGTGACAAAATCTGGCGGAAGTGGAAGAAGAAGAATAAACAGTAGGATAGCATATAGTGGCTGCATAGTCTATGCAGCCACTCAAAAAGTTAATATATTAATGACACCGTAACCGGCGTGTCTACAGCAGCAGCTAGCCGTGAACGCATCATCCCCGTGTCTCCTGCTGCATGCTGTGGTCAACAGCGAACAGGAACAATAGTAGAAATGGATCGAGTGGAGACAAAACAAATTCAAAAGTGGAGACTAAACTTGCAATTGGAAGGTGAGTGCGTACAACAAGAAAATCAGATGTGTCGGGCTCGGGCCTGTTATACAGCGTTCATTGGTCGGGCTTATACGGTCTCGGGCTTAACATTAGCGGGCAACATTAGCGGGCCTGGTCAAGCCCGAACAAAACTCTAATATACAGACAGTGGCTCAGTTGGTAGAGCATTGGCCTTTGGGCCCAAAGGTTGTGGGTTCGAGCCCACCACGAGACATTCTCCACCAATTCCCACTTATGTCTGCAGTTGGTGTGTCCTTGGGCAAGACACTTAACCTACTTAGCCTATAAGGAGCGCTGAAGTGATGTTCGCTGCTTGCCTTGATGTGTATGTATCAAACTGAAATTTCCCCATTGTGGGACGAATAAAGGAACTTCTTCTTAAACTCACAAAAACCCAGTTGGAAAAAAGTGGGAAACCTTGGAGACCCACATTGAGAGAGGGATCCGCTCCACACTAACAGACGGGCTATAGTATTGACTGTTAGCAGCAACTTCATAAGACACCTCTGCTTTCCCGGCCTTAAAAGTAGAAGTGCGCAACAGCGCTCCCGGCTTGAAAGGTAGAAATCATAGGGGTTACTACGTCCGGTAATATATACAGTCTATCTCCTGCCCTTTTCTAACTAATGGGCCAAAAATTGGGCTTTCATGGAGTGATTCAAAATGGCCGCGGGGGCTGGAAAATGTGAAAAAACGCATCTGCGCATGTGTCAGCCGGCACAAGCGCCATTCATTTAAACGAGTGACTTCAAAAATTCACAGCGAGTAAACTAGAGTGGTCCAAAAAAATTCAACCCCCTCAGCATTGACACACATGTGGAACGGAGCTTTGGGCTAAGAGCCAACTTTTGGACTGTAAAGACGTTTTTGATACAATGCAATGCATACATTTGCATTGAATAATTCCCTTTCCGGGTCCAGCCCTCCGGCTCGTTGTGGTATTGCAAGCATGTCAGCGCCCGTCATTTTGGCCACTTTTGAGCCGGGACCCGACCCCACTGGTAGAAACGCAGGAATGCGTTCCCAGTGTTCTGTCGAGTTGGTCTGCCCATCGAGATGATCTGGCTCAGCTGTTAATGATGTAATGCAAACCTGCGCATGCGCGTCTCACGGCAGCCGAAGCAATCCAAGATGGCGGACATGTAGTCCGCGAATTGCTTTAAAAGTTAAATACGAACGAATTAAGACACGAATGTCACTTTTAATGCAATTTGAGGCGAGATGTTGATGGTTCCACGTTGTGATATGTGTGTTTTAAGAGTTTCGTGTAAAGTTTGTTTTAAGCAGTCCACTGATCCTGTGAAACTACACTGCTAGTGTGCCCAAATCTGACTTGCACATGCGCAGAAACCCGCCAGAATGGAAAAAACTCGATCTAATTAAATATTTTGTTTGAACACCCTAATATAATCATATTGAATACTACGGAAGCCCGTTTCCGCCATGTAAAAAAAAAAAAGCATACAGAAAGTCAAAATTTTGAGTTTAAAACTCAAAATTACGACTTTAAAAGTCAAAATTACGAGTTTTCAACTGCGCATGTGCAGTTGAAAACTCGTATGTCTTGTTGTCTGGAACGGTCTCTGGACATCCTTCACCTGCAGATTATGTGAAGATATTGCTGACAGTGACCACTGCATCCATGAAGTAGCCAGAAATAATGTTGTTTGATTGATTCTGTAAAACTTTCCTGTTTAAGCCCCAGACCGCGGCCGTAGGACGCAGGGGGGAGCTGTCTTTTTATTTATTTATGTTAAATTAAGGGCGACAGTAGCTCAGTTGGTAGAGCATTGGCCTTTGGGCCTGAAGGTCGTGGGTTCGAGCCCACCGTAAGACCTACTTCACGACTCCCACTGATGTCTGCTGTCGTTGTGTCCTTGGGCAAGACACTTAACCCTACTTTGCTCAAAGCCCCAACTGAAAGATCTCAGCTCCTGTGGACTCACCACCTGCAGGAGGATCAGTGAGGGGCTGGTGCTATGTGTACTGGGTGCAGCTCTGACTGCCACTCCCCCGACCCAGAAATGGATTAAGGGGAAGAAAATGGATGGATGGATGGATGTTAAATTAAATTTACATATATACAACATTTAAATCAAACGACTTCTTATTTCGACATAGTAACAAATAATGTGAGCAATACGTTTTTATAATAAATCAAAGGAAAATGAGCCATCGAGACATTCCAATCCAATCTGCTGTAGACCACTCTGACCAGACGATGGCGCTGAGAGGGGTCCACACGGAGCGAGTCTTTCCACGGCTGAAATGATGCACTTTCTACGTGTTGTGTACGGGGTTTTATTCAGTTATTTCTCCGGATTGTTGCTAAAAGAGTCGTGGGCTTTATTTTGTCACAATAAAATAATCAGACAAGGCACTTATTCCCTGTATGTCTCTGTGTTCTTGCTCATACGCCAACAACTTTACCACACGCTCGCTCCATCAGCTCACCCCCGCGTGCACGCAAACACGTCACATACTCTTCAATGCACTGATCGCAATTCCAAAAGGTTTAATATTGTCAGTGCCCGTGACTGTGGTTCTCCTGCCTCTGTCGGCGGACCTCTCTCACTGTCCTGTAATCGCGAACGGTCTCTGTCAGTCACAAAATCATTCAGTGCATTTCTGGTGCATCCATCGATAGCCGTGATACTGACCAGATGTCACCAGTTGATGCTCAATGACTTTGAACAGCTCCATGTGTTTTATTATTAATCTTCCACAGTCCTTTTAGGATAAATTAAATAGAGGCTTCTGAAGCGGATTCTAATCATAAACGGAGAGACCGTTTGCATTTTAACGCGATTACTACCACAACATTATTGCTGCTACTTCATGGATGTGGTCACTGTCTGTAGGCAAAATCTTTACATAATCTGCAGGTAGAGGATGACCCATGGTCATGGATCTTTAACAGGGATGACCAGAGACCGTTCCAGACAACAACACATACGAGTTTAACTGCACATGCGCAGTTGAAAACTCGTAATTTTGACTTTTAAAGTCGTAATTTTGACTTTTAAAGTGGAAATTTTGACTTTCTGTAGGCTTTTTTTTTTTTTTTACATGGCGGAAACTGGCTTCCATAGAATACAGTATGATACATGCATAAAATGTAATTTATTATTTCCATTATCAACCCGACAGACCAGTCACAGGACGCGTCATGGGCCTGACGTATGCAGCAGTCAACTCAGGGCCTGCGATCACACAGCAGCAGTGTAGTTTCACTTGAGCAGTGGACTGCTTAAAACAAACTTTACACAAAACTCTTACTCTTAAAACACACATATCACAACGTGGAACCATCAACATCTCGCCTAAAATTGCATTAAAAGTGACATTCGTGTCTTAATTTGTTCGTATTTAACTTTTAAAGCAATTCGCGGACTACATGTCCGCCATCTTGGATTGCTGGGGCTGCCGTGAGACGCGCATGCGCAGGTTTGCGTTACATCATTAACAGCTGAGCCAGATCATCTCGACGGGCAGACCAACTCGACAGAACACCGGCCTCAATGGGTTAAAGCCTGTTGGGGGAAAGTAACAACCAAATTAAGCGCTGCATTACGTGCAGAGATCCACACCAACTGTATGTGTTTTAAACCAGTTCACTGTGAAAGGAAAAAAATCTAATATAATAAAATTAGTAAAAGTAGGCCTTACTGCAGCACCTACTAGCGGCTAATTTATCAAATATATGGAAAATTAGAAGCATTCAGTGACACATGGGAACCCTTGTTCGAACAAATGGAAAAACATCCTAGAAGTACCACAATAAGTTCTAGACTGGGTGGGGGATGGGGGGAAGTGGGGGTACACAGGGGTGGGAAAGAAAACATGAAATACTGTATACAGTATAGTGTAGTATAGGTATAGCTGCAACAGGACACTTTTTATTGGCTGCATACAAGTTTTTATGAATGCTATGTACACTCTAATTTCCAATTTGGAAATTAATTTAACCCCTTAAGCTTGTTTCCCCCCCCCCCCTCATATCGGAATTTATCTGGAAGACAATATCACAATATAAACGCTGTATAAAACCAATGCATTATTGTTGTTAAATGGTGATATTGATTTGAGAGTTTGATGCGTTGTTTGACTTGTTGTTAAACTACCTTCATCTTGATCTACAACAATTTGTAACAAATGTCTTACTTTTTCTAGAACAAAAACACTCACTTGAACCAGGCCATTCACGAGGAACTGGAAGCCATTTTGGAGCTCCGAGTGCAGTTGCGTCTCCTCCAAAGCCACAAGCAACAACAAGAACTTGTGGTCCAGCCCTCATCTGAACTCGCCCCTCTTGCCCAGCCCAGTCCAGAGGCACGGCCTGAGGAGCAAACCAAGCGCCCTTCTACAAACACTGCTCCTGCTGCTGCAGCTGCTGCTGCTGCTACTACTGCTACTGCTACTACTGCTGCTGCTGCTGCTGTTGTTGTGGCTGCTGCTGCTACAGCTGTCGTTAACACAGATGCTAATGTTCCTGCTAATGGGAAACCAGCTAAGGATGCACCCAAACCATCTCCAAACAAAGACAAGAGGGACACCAACATGTGAAATGGCTAGATACAATGAATATTATGTGCTGAAACAGATTAAGATTAAAATTATATGGTGAAAATAACGCTCAACATTCAGCGCTTTTGACCTGGTTAAGTGGATCTGTATTAAATGGTTCATATCTTGAGCCTTGAAAAATGATGAGACAAGGCTCGTCATTTTTCATTGCATATTTTTTACCTATCAATAAGGCATTTCAAACCACCAAAAAGTAAATGTTTTAAAATTGAACTACTTGATAGTTTTCTTGCTCTCAAAACTGTTTGCCTCCATCACTAATTTTCATTTTTGTGTATTTAGATCAGCTTTTTCAAACGGAAAAGTGAACAAAGTAAGGCCACCCTCATTCAGCCAGTCAGCTCTCAGCCTAAAGTGTCAAATAGTGACTCACAGAGCTGTTAAGTACCCCGGCTTTAAATGTGGTTTTCTGATCATTTAGTTTCAAGCCATAGATTTGTTTTGAATCAGCATTATTTGACCACCTTTTGGGAATTTGCTGGTTTTCTAAGTACCACATAAAAAGTGTTCCCATTCTTCAGTAATTAAGTCATCTTTATTTATATTGCTCATTTCACAGACCAAGGCCTTCATAGCAATTTACAATGTTTTGGAGTAGATATATCTTAATACATATAGGTTTGATAAAATACATGCTGGCTAAATAGACATATTAGCTGAGGTTGACCTACATTTATCTGTGGGACCAAACTTGTGCCAAATTGTTATCACATGAATATTATTTGGTTATTATCAAAGTCCAATTATAGTCCCAGCTTTCATAATTTACCAATTTTCAAATGTATGGTTTGATATAATTCTAAGGCAATTCTTTTGAACCAAGACCACTGTGCCATTACATTTTCCCAAAGAACCACTAATGCATAAATGTTGTAGAGTTTTTAGTCAAATTAGATATATTTTGAAGTAATTATACCAGAAATTCATGTTGATTTTTTTATTTTTTTTTAGTAATATATAAACGTTATTTTTAATATATCCTTTGACGGTTTCTTCAATCAAACTGATTGCCCAGTATTTTTTTCCAGTGTTGCTCCATGTTGTGCCGCCAAATTGGTATTGGATATTTCCAAGCTTTATAACAGTATAAATCTGTTTGTCACTGTTGTAAATACAACTCCATTTAAATCTACTAGTGATTTTTGCGCATAAACCTTGGGCGCGATCATTATTGAAATGTTATTGCTATTGCACACAAATAACCCTTGTATTATCAGGTTGAGCTGTTGTCTTATCATAAAAGAGAAACCAAGACTTGTACAACTGTCGCATCATTTCAGACCACAAAGTTGCCGTACTTACTGTTATCTGTAGAATATAATAGAATACAAATCCTATGTTTTGTCGTGTGTGTAATTTTTGGATGATTTCAAGCGGTCTTTCTTCCTGTGGCTGTTCTGAAACGTTAGACTTCGAAGTTGTTTCATGTCACTGTTCAGAGCTTTTATGGCCGACTGTTGCAGACATTATAATACTGTGAAAAATAAAATGTCAAACTCATTCCTGTTGAGTGTGTTTTTCACTTCGTGCACATGAGGTTAGTTAAGTTTTATAATTGGTTAAACTACTACTGCTAACAAGTAATTAATTTCAATGTATCTTTGTATATCCCCAAATCACAACAGCCGTATCCTCAGGACTTTACACAGCTCCCACTGAGTTTTTTCTGCTCCCGCACTTCTGATGACAGTAGCACGTCTCTTAATCTGCCTATCGAACTGGTTACTATCTCTAATTCAGTCGGCAGCTCCAACAAACGACGGCCAATGTCCATAAATGTAAAAATATACTTTTCTTGATCGTCTCAGTCACATTTTCAGAAAGAGTTTTGCTGCATAAATCTGAACAAATGTTTAACGATACATTGTCCAATCAGAGTACTGTGTACTTGTATGCTCGGTTGCATATTAACTTAGTTTAAATTCGATTCAATTCAACTTGACTACAGACTCTAGGTCCAATTTAAAAACATGGACAGACAAGACATAAATAAATAAAAATAGCAAAGTTATGACTTTAAAAAACAGCCATACCAGTTTCTCCACATCTTGGACTGAAATCGAGTGGCACTGAATCAGATGCACTAATATTAATACATTTTCTGACTCAGTCGACAAATGAAACTACATAAGGCTCCTCGGCACAGCCAGAAAAGTGTTCACTCGTGAGTTGACAAACGGCTCCGATGCACTGGTCCACTCGGAAAGCGTCATTGTAGGCCACCTGTAGCTTGTGCAGACTGGCTCTTTTATAGTTACTCCACAGGTGGGCCATGCACAGTATGATTTAAATTGCACTTTCACATCAGTTGAGCAGAGGCCGAATTAACAGAGTGTTGGCCTGCACCTCTGTTGGCAACCTGCGCTGTCTGTAAACGTCACTGTCATCAGTCGTGTCTGTAGTGATGGCATATCCAAGATATTTTGTTTTATCAAGGCAAAAGTCAGAAAAAATTGGGAGCCTGTCCTCTTTGGTTTGACAGATCATGAACATGCTCTTCACTGCATTAAACTTTGTCATGCTCTGCAAATATTTAGCAGGTTCTGTAAACCAGCTGTGCATGGGCTGAACACAACCACATCGGCACACATTAAATAGTTTATTTTTTTATTTATATCACATAGGAGAAATTTACATGTCACATTTGGCATGGATAGGACACTCAGATTGTGCAAAAGGAGGAAATGTGCAAACATGTTACATGCAGGATATATGTACAATAAAAGTGACAAGTGTCAATTGGAAACAGTGTCAATAGTAGTGCAGGCGACTTTGGGCGACGGCGTCCTCTTCTCCAATGTTGGGCCTGTAGGCGAACTGCTGGTGGAGAGGGGGGAGAATCAAACCGGATGAAGTACTGGTTAAATTCATCCGCCCGGTGCTGGTCTCCATCCGCTGTCCCGCTAGCTCTCTGTTCAAAGCCGGAGATGTTCTTTAGGCCTCTCCACACGTCGCGGGTGTTTCCCTGGGCCAGCTTCTGCTCCAGCTTTTTCCCATAGTCCTTCTTGGCCCTCCTGATCCTCCACTGGAGCTTGTGCTGGATCATCTTCTGCTCCTCCCTGTCCCCTGAGATGAAAGCCCTTTTCTTGAGGTTCAGGAGGGCTTTAAGCTCAGGGGTCACCCATGGGTGGTTGTTAGAAAAACACTGCACCTTCTTAGTTGGTACAGTGTTATCCACACAGAAGAGAATATAGTCTGTAATTCGGTGTGTTAGGCTCTCGATGTCCTCACCATGAGAGCTGCAGATCATTTCCCAATCAATGTTTTGAAAACAATCTCTCAGCATCTCATCCACATCATCGCTCCACACTTTTACAATCCTCTTCTGCGCTGGATTTCTTCTCACCACTGGTGTGTATTCCGGAGACAGACGGACCAGGCTGTGATCAGAGCGTCCGAGAGGGGGGAGAGGCGAGGAGGCGTATGCGTCCCGTATTAACATACAGTAGGTCCAGAGTCTTAGGCTAAGTTTACACGGAGACAATGTGGCAGTAAAACGGTATAGTTGGATGTCGGTTTCTACCAACCGTTCATACGAAGACTGTGTTCCAGGGGGGTGAAAACGTAAGTGTTCAGATCCAGCCTGCAAAGTGGGACAACTCAGAAACGCTGCACAGCAGGGAGCTCTTTCACACCCGCGAGAGGGGAATAGGTGTGAAATCCCCCTCTGCTCTGACCCCCACCTCCCCGCTGCTCCCCGCACGTAAATTTGGACATGCGCAGTAGCGGAGAACAAACATAAACAACAATGGCGGCGGTCGCACTAACTAGCTTTGTGGGCTTCCAGCGCGGCACAGAGGATAATTCTACTCCTTCGTTCGTCCAAACGAGACCACGCGAAGCTCTAGTTTCAGTTTCCATTTTACCAGATGCTGTTAAAAGGCGGAAGGATGTTGGTACATTCTGAGGGTCTGGCACAGGAAGTGAGGATACTGCCGAGAGGGGGGCTGGGCACGGGGCTCGGGGTCTTGTGAGTGTTGTAAAGTTTCTCTGCCTACTACTGGCCGGGCGCTAGAACTACATCGTTTTTCAACCTCATGTGAACGCTGAGAAATTTGCATTAGGAGCCTGGTTGTTTCTGTTAATAGCCTGGAAACGTCTGCGCAGCGTCTCAGTATAAACAGGGCCTTATTGCCACGAGTTGGGCACGTGACATACTGTTTGAATGTTGGGAGAGTGGCGGAGAGGGAGGCGTGGTTAAAGTCCCCGCTGATCAGAATCAGAGCGCGGATCTGGACAAAACCTCCATACACCCAGTTTAATCTGATTTTAGTTGCATTGACAGTTCACCCATATAAACAAAACTGGGGACAGAATACCCCCTTGTCTAATCCCGTTTCCAACTTTAAATGGTGCAGATACACTGTTCCTACAGACTCTGTTTTAGCACAATTTTTATGCATGTTTCGTTTTTTTAAATAGAAAAGTCACTTAAAGTTACCTTTTCAGAATCAGAATCAGAATCATTTTTATTGCCACGTAAGTAACGGGGTCACAGACTTGGAAATTGCTTTGGCTCAGTGCAACAGTCAAAAAGAGATAATAAAAATAAGAATAAAAAACACTTCTAAAGAATAAATTAAAATTTTAAATAGAGTTACAGTTACTATTTACAATATACAAGTGCACATGGTGCACACAATGTAAGGTGACAGCAGTACAGTGAAGTAAAGTGACGTATGATGGGCAGTAAAGTGACTTTATAAAGGGCGGGGGGACAGGTTAAGGCCCCGACTCCACCGGGCGCGTAAAAAGGACGACGGATCCGTCCAAACATGTCCGTTTCATCTCCGTCCCCGTTATCTCCATGAGGGTGAATGGAAGTGGCTCCACTGCCTCCGCATGCGTCCGTCCAACGCACGTCGGACGTATTCCGTCAACGGAGGGTGCAACGGACGCGGACGGACGAAATAGAAACAATCCTATTTGTTCCGTCCGTCGACGCGTGTCGGGTCCGTTTTCCATTGAAAATACAATGG